GAAGGTACCCCTGCCTCCACCACTTCCTGTGTCCCTGCCTCCTGTCTGTCACGAGGTGAGGAGGCTCTGCCACATGTTTCTGATGCCATGGCCTGTTTCCTCACCACAGATTCAGAACCAACAGAGCTGGGCAGTACAGACCTAGGCCTCGGTGAGCTGAGGTAAAGGAGTCCTCCCTTTAAGGTGTTTGCCTGAGAAACAGTCTGGTGACCTCTGGCTTTGTTTGCTGCCCTTTGTTTTAGGCTCAGTCTCATTTTAATTTCCTGAAACACTGGGGGATTAGGTCTCATGCCATTGTTTGTAGCCATGACCAAGTCCAGTGGCTTCAAACAATGCTTATTTATTGTCAGGCTTTCCTCAAGTCACATCCAGATACGGCTGGGTTCTCTGTTCAGGAGCCCACAAGCAGCTATCAAGGTGTCTTCTGAGCCAACTATCCCACCTGAGATGGGGTCTTCCTTCAAGGTCAGCAGTAGTGGGCACAGTCCAGGCATTTTGTAGTTGTAGGAAGAAGGCTCCCAGCTCCAGGAAGCTGTGCTGTTTTCTCCTGATGTGGAGCTCTCTCCCACAGGAAGCTCATGGCATGCAAGGGCGGCAGCTCTCTCCCACTTAACTAATGTTCATGGGCCTGGGGATTAGTCAACACGAACCAATCCAGCAGGGTTAGCCCAGCTGATCTCCAGACCCAAAGCCCAGCGCTGGAAGCTTCCAGAGTCCTGGGTTCCTGAATAGTGACTGGAGGAAGCTTAGGTTCAGCACAGGTGAGTAACCCAAAAATAACCCACACAGCCGGCTGAGGTAAGGCTGTCTGAATGCTACCTCAAGGTCCCCATCTCTCCAGAGAAAACCCGTCTCACGGCCCTGATGCTCACGAGCCAAAGTGTCCTTGATGTACTTGGACAGTGAGCAGAGGGTAACACGAAGTGGGTAAAAGCAACTACCCCAAAGTCTGGTGACCTGAGTTCCACCCCAGGACCACATGGTGGAAGGAGAGAACCAAAATCTCTGACCTCCACACATATGCCATAGCACAAGCGCACACACACACACACACACACACACACACACACACACTCACTCACCACTCAATAAACAAATAAATACTAAAATATATAAAAATATACTGCTTCTAGAACTATACTGTATACTCCTTAAACAGAGCTGAGCAGAGCCTAAAGAAGAGATCAGAGAGCTTAGGAAGTGATCCCTCATGCCCTGACACTGTGCTGACATCACCCCACCAGTAGTATGACATATCATTGTAGGATATTCAAAGATGTGCCAAAATCAGCTAGTGGTTGCCTAACATAGAACACAAAAACTATGCCAAGAAACAGGCATTACCCAAAGCCTGTACTTAAAAGATATTTGGGGATTCTTAAGTACACATAGATCGGTCAACAAGACATGGCTCAACCTTCATAGGGAAGAGAGAAGGAAAGGGCTGGCCTGAAGAACTGCTTCACACTGGGACTGTGTGTAGAAGGCTGCCGCTGCTCTTCAGACATTACATGACCCAGAGAATGCAGAGTGCCCGGCTTGCAACCAATCCTGAATTTCAAATCAATAGGGTTTACTATTTCCCCAGCTAACCTGGGCTGAAATCGATGCCATTGCTGCTCTTTAGGAGAACAGATGAGTAGGAAACAAAGGAAGAGAAGGCAACCATCCAAGGCTGAAATAAATACACTCTGCAAAGGCTTTTGCAAAGAGAAACGGATGATAATTCAGCCTGTCTTCCCAAGGCCCTTTCCTCCAACTTTTAGTTTTAGGTCTTTGGGGCATCGGGGAATGGTTTCAGGTGACCACATGAAGGAAGAGATAAAAGGTGAACATTTGAGGATAAAGTAGAAGCTTGTCTGGGTCAGTTCTCACTGAATAACAAACATCCCATGTTTGCATAGTTTAAAAAATTAGCCACTATCATCTCACCCCTGAGTCTATAGGTCTGGGCTCTGCTCATCTCAGATGAGCTGGTTTCTGTAGTTAGATACTGGGTCAGTGTGGGGCTGGCTACACCAGGATGGCATCACATAGAATGGTGAGTATCTGCTTCCCATGATCTGTCATGCTCCATCAGAGTAGCCTGGGCCCGTTGCCATGAAGGCTTGAGTATGGCTCAAAGACTAGATTCTTAGTGCCTAGGTCCCTAATTGGCATGCTGTCTCTTCTACTGCGCGCCTGTTTGTATGTGAGTATGTGTGTGAGAGAATGAGAGAGAAAGAGACACAGACAGAGACACAGAGACAGAGAGAGATGGACTGAGAGACAGACAGCAGATACACTGCACCTATGTGTAGATGCATGCAGAGGCCAGAAGGCCTCCTCATGTGTTGTTCAGGCTCTGTTCCTCCTCCTTTTGAGACAGGGTATGTCACTCCTGCAGTGCGCAGTTTGTCTAGGCTGGCTGGCTAGCACACCTCTTTCTCCTTCCCCGGCGCTGGATTACAAGTGCATGCTCCCACCCTTGGCTCCGAGGAGCAGACTCAGGTCCCCGTGCTTGCAGCGCAAGCCCTTCACCAATGGAGTGATGTCCCCTGCCTCACTGTACTCTTTCCCGTAAGCATGCTACAGCTTCAGAGGTGGCAAAGATCTCCTTCTTGATGAAGCCACAGTATGCTGGAATGTTGGGTCTGGAATGTTCCCCAGAGACGCATGTGTTTAAAGCTGGACCTCCAGTGTGTTGCTATTGGGTGGTGGTGACATGTGGATACCTGTGGCAGTGCCCTGGAGGGGGATTCTGAGACCCTGATTCTTCTGTCCTTGACATCACAGTCCCTGCCATCCGCACAACCAAATCAATGAAACAGTTGGTCACAGCTGGGACCGCCACAATAAACCTTTCCTGCTTGTAAAGTCTAGGACCTCAGCAGCTGCTGTGGTGATGGAGAGCTGGTAACACAGTCCCATTGCGAAGGGTGTGAGCATTTTGGAGGAGGGGAGAGCCAAGCTATTTTGTGGCCTGTCACACTGTCCTCACCATCATTCAACTTCCCAGATAGTGGTGTCACATGTGGTTGGAGGAAATGGCTTGGATAAGAAGTGCCTAATGGTGAGCCTTAGAAAAGAGGTTTATTTTATTTTCAGTTGTGAAGATATGTGTGTGTGCATAAGAGTACACACACTTGTGGAGTCCAGAAGAGGGTGTCGGATCCCTGGAGCTGTTCAGTGTGGCTTCTGGGAACAGAGCTCTGCAGGGGTCCTGAGTGCTTTTGATCATTGAGCTGTTTTCCTCTTCCCACCCTTTTCATAAAAAGGAAACAACAAAACGTAAAGTCTCCCCTTGAGGTCTTCAGGACAGGGTCTGAAGGAGAAACTGACAGAGCAGAGCCATCTTCTTGAGGTGGCACAGTGTAGAGGTGAGCTTGTAAGCACTTCAGCCTCAGGGGAAGGGATTGTGCATTATGACCAGGCTGTGGGTCAGATCAAGCCACAGCTCTGAGCCCAGGAAGCTTCCAGCACTGGGTGTAAACAGTGTCTTAAGAGCTGCTTATGCCTAGGAAGTCCCAAGCTGCTTAACTAACAGCCATGGATCTGGGGATTAGCTAACATGAACCAATCCAGCAGGGTTAACCCAGCTGATCTCCAGACCCATAGCCCAGTGCTGGAAGCTTCCCAAGCCCCAGCTTCTCTGAATAGTGACTGGAGGGAGCTTAGGTTCAGCACAGGTGAGTAACCCACACAGCCAGCTGAAGTAAGGCTGTCTGATTGCCACCTTGAGGTTCCCATCTCTCTAGAGAAAAACCCATCTCACAGCCAAAGTGTCCTTGATGTCCTTGGACAGTGAGCAGAGAGGAACACAAAGCCATCCTGGAGGCCTCTCCTGGGCAGGGTCCACTCTGACTTACCTGCCTTCCTTCTCAGCTACTCTGTGTCTCTAACTCTGGATCTAGGTAGCTTGACTGAGGTTTGTTTGGCAGATAGACCCTAAAGGACTTAATGACAGTATCCTGTGTTGAAACCTCTTTTTCAACCCTGACTGTCCTCTATGGAATAAACTAAGTCAGCAATGAGGGTAGCATCCTTTTCACTGGGCTATGATCAAGTTACCATACATGGTGGCAAATGTGGTAGTTGTCACTCATGAGCCAAGACTCTGAACACATGACAGTGGGCAGGGCTGTGACACAGAAAGCTAAGGCCTCTCTTAACCATGAGGGCAATGGAGAAGGAGGAGAGCAGAGTTTCAACTGCCAGATGTGGGCAGAGAACAGATCTTCAGAGTAAAGCCATAGACAAGACAAAAGGGGGAGGTACAGGGGTGGTAGGCGCACAGTGTCACCGGGGCTGAGTTGCCGGAGGAACTGACTGGACACCCGGCAAGGTTGGATCCTAACTGCTTTGAGAATCCTTCCTTGACTAGCCTCCAATACAACAAACCAATTACCCTTCCTCATTCTGTAGCTTGTTGTTGTCCGTCTTCTACAATCCATTTAATGCTTTTTACTTAAGTGATTTTCATGTCCCTTTGTGAGGCCCAGTGTGGGCTGCTCAATTTCATTGTCTCATTCCAGCTCCTCTCTGTGTATACAAGGTGTCTTGAAATTACACTTGGCCAAAGCACATATTAAGGTATTAGCTCCTTTTATTGTTGCGAGCAAAGGCCCGACAAGAAGCAACTTAATGGAGTGGTCCTTGGGAGTCAGTTAGAAAGCAAAGAGTCTCTTCTGGTGGGAAATCATGGCAGCGGCAGCAGCGGGCCCAGAGGCAGTGGCCACGTTGCACTCACAGACTGGAAGCAGATGGAATGTTAAGTGTGGCCTCGCCCTCAGTGGCCTGCTTCCTCCAGAAAAGTTCCACCTTCTTAAATTCCTCAGCCATCCTAAACAAAGCTGCCAGCTGAGGACTGTTTTCAAGAATGTGACTTAAGGTGGGGGGCATTTCACATTCAAACCCCAGCAGGACGTATTCTGGGTTTATGGGTAATGGTTTTGTTGTCAACGTGTGTCAATGCAGAAAAGTACACAGATTCACACAAAGCCATGTCTGTCTCTGTAAAGGAATGCTTTGAACACCTCAGCCTGGGAGCCCTGTGGTACTTCGTGAGGCAGAACTCAGTCATACACGGGGTTACCCTTCTGCTCTGGAACGTCCTCGGTGCGTCTGGAGTGCCCAGTCTTCCCAGAGCAATGGAACAGGTGATGGGCACCTGCTGTTTCTGTGTGCATCTCTAGTTATTTCACAGCAGCAGATGAGCATGCTCCTTTATGAAAAAGGTGCATTTTGGCTCACATCTCTAGAGTGCAAGGTCTAGGAGACTCATCTGAACCATGGCCTTCTTGGTTCTCCTCAAGTGACACAAAATCACTGGATTAGAAAGAGGAACACGGAGGTAACCTAGAACCCCTGCACAGATGTAGCCCATGGCAGTTCAGTGTCCAAGTGGCTTACATAGTGATGGGAAGAGGGACTGCCTCTGACATAATCCGATTGGCCTGCTCTTTGATCACCTCCCCCCGAGCGGGGGAGCAGCCTTACCAGGCCACAGAAGATGACAATGCAGCCACTCCTGATGAGATCTGATAGACTAAGATCAGAAGGAAGGAGAGGAGGACCTCCCCTATCAGTGGACTTGGA